CATCGCCAGTCTGTACAACAACGTTGTACACAGCACCACCGGCGTCACTCCCAATCAGCTGCATTTGGGGTGGAAGCCTAGATCTGCTCTAGACTTCCTCGTGCCTGAAAACTGAACTGCTGCAACTCCTGGAACGATTGAATTTGGTGTCCAGTCCGAGAAGGTGCTGCAGCAGGCTGTCGAACACATCACGAAATCTCAAGAAGCCATGATTGCTTTTGAGAACAAGCATCGCCGACAGTCCACATTTTAGGTAGGGGAACGTGTCCGCGTTAAGGCTAGTGAGTTGGGACATGAGTTCAGTATCTCTAGGAAACTAATGCCTCAGTATTTCGATCCTTGGAAAGTCTTGGATATTGTGGGTAGTGAAGAGGATGGTCCCTCATACGTGATTCCTATCCCTGGTCACCTACGCACTTACCCGGTGTTTCACGCCTCAAAGCTTGCACCTTTCGCTGAGACAGCAATTCCAATCAAGGAGATCTATGCTGCCCCCAACCATGGATGGCCACGTGGACGTTGACGACATCTTTGAACACAGAGACATGCCTGTTCCCAAGCTAGCTGGCAGGGGAAGACCGCCTAAACCTATCAGAGAGCACAGAGTTCGGTTCAGGCATCATACAGATCCAACGGAAGATCTTTGTTTCACAAGGGAGGAACTTGCCAAGACAGCTACTCAGATCGTGGCCGAGTACGAACGTAAACTGAAGGGGAAGGCACCTGCATAAGAAGCATCTCAGCGAACTATGGAATGTGAGAATTGTCTCCTTAGGGGGGCCTTAGACAACATGCATATGGTCTGGCAGCGGCCCAGCAAGCCTCGTGCCCGCCCTAAGGGAAGGCGGGCCTGAATATTCACAGGTGGCCCCTATCTCTGCATTTTTCCATTCGGGCCTCTGACAGTTGTTGCACGACAGTTGGTTGACGAGCAACCTGAAGCCTACCCTAGGTCCGGGCGGTTGAGCCCAGGGCACACGCATACAGGGGCAGATACATCACGAGGTGGCCACGGGTAAACAAGAAAGCAGCATTGTCGTCTTATCTACCCTGTGGTCCAGTCCAAGTGCAGCAAACAATCGAAGCATGTAATGTTCTGAGTGTGCCCAACCAAAAAGGGCCCAGGCCCGCAACTATCAAGGTGGCCTGAGTGCAGGTACCGGGGCCCCACCGGAAGCTACTGGAAGCCTCCTCGGCCAGGCCCACGCAGACCAGCAGAGGCTGCCACTTCCATATAGGAAGGACGGAAGCCAGGGCTTGGCATTCTGGCCCACATTGGCAATGCGGTCACGCTGCTGCGCTGCTGCGCAAGTGGCTGCATGCTGCCTTATCGGCCAGGGGCGCATGCGGGCGCTCGCGAGGTGACAGGTGTGCGAGCGGCCATAGAGGGGGTAAGGGGCGATCGGTGGTCTTCGGGAAGGAGGCGAGTGCGGGTGGTCAGGGGGTGATGAGGGGAGACGAGATACGAACCTGGTGCATGAGGGAGGTCGGCTATGGTGTTGACGTCATGGACATTGGTCTTCAAAGTCGAAATGAGCCTGTTGTGTGAATGCCGCTGTAGTAGGATGGGCTAGATAGAGTAGGAAGGGCGCTCGGCGCCACACAGTAGGAGCGACATTGGATACTGCGTTGGTGTGGCCTGAGGGCTTGAACATTGGCTCATGAGTTCACTGTAACGCTCTTATGTGGATGGAATCTTCGGCGCATTTACGCTCTCTGCTTGAAATACAACTACTTCGACATCTGTGTGATTTCGCAAATTGGCTTTCTGTATATCGTTCTCACTCATATTCCATGCAAAAATAAAATAAAAAACAGGAACTGATTTTTTTTGGGGGTTGGGCGATTAAAAAATAAAATTAAAAAATGATTGATTGATTGATTGATTGACTGATTGATTGATTATTTGATTGATTATTTGATTGATTATTTGATAGATTGATTGATTGTGCAAGAAAAATGTGAAATGAACGAAATCCAGAAAGCAAAATCACATTGAAAGCCAGAAACTCGAACGCTGTCCAGAAAGCAGATATGCACTGATATTCAACAACGGAGAACCAAAGCACCGAATCCAAATGTCAATGAGAGCATACTCTCACCACCACCAACGTATGTATCCAGAATCCTTCCTCCTACTTGGCGCTCAATGCCCAGACTACGATCACACAGGTACAACTCAGCCTACGAATTGACAATGCAACCTCTTGACGTCCGCAGCAAGAACCGAAGTACATGAAGATGTCGACCCTATTGACCATCGCCAAAACCATGTACGTGCCCTCACATCACCATCCCCATCTCTCTCACTCTCTCCCTCGTCTTCTTCACCCATGTCTTCCCCCTCATACACGAAGACCACAACCACATCCACTGACTTTGTCCAAGCCCAAGGCCAGCTATAGGGGCTGGGCTATGGCGCTGCCCTCAACGGCGCCCTGCTCGCAAGCTGACGCACGTGTGCACGCTCCAGCACCCAGCGCTAGTGCACAGCCTTGGCCGCGAGCCCAAGCTCAATCAGCGCTGCCGTGTTGCACACTGGTTTACACTTTCCATATAAGTGCCGGTGCACTGCCTGCTCTTCCACATCTGGACCACGTTTCCAGTAGCTTAGTGTCTGCGCCCAGGCCCGCTCAGACAGTAGTGTGGGACCGAATTGGTTAGGCATGCCCAACCACGCAAGCGCAAATGTGCGATGTACCCCGCTTTCTCCATGTTGCTTGAAGAGCCTGGAAGGGCCACAAATATTTTGGATTCTCACGAGCAAGGCGGAAACCAACTGGCGCGTTGCAACTGTCTGGCGCACACCAATTTGCAAATATTCACAAGTCCAGGGCTCATTGAGATTCAGGGTCCCCGCCTTCACTTAGGGCGGGCACGCACCTGTTGCAGGGCCTTATGCCGGTATGCCGAGGGGTAAAACCCTCGCACTCCCTCCTTTACTTCGATTGTCCTCTGAGAAGTCGTAACACAGCGTGCTGCTTCCGTTTCAAATTTCATTCATAACTTGAGATAATTTGGGGAGCAGTCTTCATTAACTCTTCTCTTGTGAATCACCGGTCTTCTTTAGGATCAGTATGGTGTCTGAAGTGCACCTGATACTGCATCTGGGGTTTTGGAGGATGTCCTCTGCCTGGAGGCTTGGGCACAGGCATTAGCTTGTTGCAAGGAAGATGAGCGAAATTGAACTTCAAAAATCAAACAGCATCATACACATAAGACCAGATAGTCGTGACCTTGGACCAACAGCAGAATTGCATCACGAATTTCACCAAATAAGAACGCACCAAGAGTTCATAATTGACAATGCTGGTATAGTCTCATCATCATCATCAACGAAGAACCAATGTTGATATCCTGTCTGGCGCTCGGCGCCCAGACTACAGATGGCAGATACTATCTAGCCTAGACTACAATGCCGAAGATGACTACAACAGCTCTCCCAAAGTGCGAGCAGATAGCGGCCAATGCCGCACGCTTCCAGCACCAGGTATGTCTTTCGCTTCACTCACAACCTCGTTCCCCAACACACAGATGCCACATGCACCCAAGGACCACCCTCCGCCTCACCCAGCTCACAGCAGCGCAGCTCGGCTATGGCTGCCTGCTCCTTCCTGCTCGCCCGTGAGCGAGTGAGCGCCGGCCAGCTTCAGCGCAGCAGCGCTTGCGCAGCATGCAGCCAGCACCCGAATGCCAAATGCAGAGGCAGGCCCTTTGCTATATGAAAGTGGCCTGCCTGCGTTGGGCCTTTCCCAAGAAGCTTCCGGTAGGCCCCAGTAGGCTGCGCTGGGCCTTTCCCAAGAAGATTCCGGTAGGCCCCAGTAGGCTGAGGCTCAGTCCAAACGAATCAGGCCCAGGGCCTGTGGTGGTTACTTGTGCCCAACTGTCCTCGGCCTGTTTTTGGCCCATATCCCGTATCCAGCCCAGGGCCTGCCTTCCATACATGCAAACAAGCGGCCTAGGCCTCGGTGCTCTTCAACCAATTGGCGCTGCGCAACTGCCTGAATTTTCCACAGTTGCGTGGTGACCGAGATAGGGACCCTTAGACCCTCATCGAGCCTGCCTTCACTTAGGGCGGCCGACGTGCTGCATAACAGGGCCAAAAAGGGGCTCATCGGGGCCTTGGCCTCGCATTCCCTCCTCCATAACTTTGATAGTCCTCTGAGAAGTTCAGTCTTCGATAATCTGGCGCTTTCCCTTCTGCAGAGACTTTTCATATTGGGCAACAACCTGAGGAGCGGTCTGCATCAGTTCCTCCCTGGTGAACCATCAATCCTCCTTTGGATCATTGTGATGTCTGAACCGAACCCGGTATTGCAGCTTCGGTTTCGGAGGACGTCCCCTGCCTGTTGGTCTTGGAACTGGCATTTCTTTATGGCCGACGATGTCATCGATGTCGACCTCTCCATCCATGGTTGGGGGCAGCATTGAGCGACGAGAGGGAAACTGATCAGTTTCCTCGAAAGGTGCAAGCTTGGAGGCGTAAGTACGGAGATGACCAGGGATCCGGATTACATAAGACGGCCCATCCGGACAAGTCCCGACGATGTTCAAGACCTCCCATGGTCCGAAGTACTGAGGCATGAGTTTGTGGGAAATCCAGTGCTCCTGTCCCAGTTCTGAGGACTTAACCCAGACTCTGTCCGCAACCTGAAATGTAGAAGGGCGGCGGTGTCTTTTCTCAGATTCTATCATTGCTGCCTGTGCCTTCTGCATCTGTTCTACTGCCTGCTGCATCTTCTTCTTTTTATTTGTTTGTTTTATTAATATTGTGTGGTCCGATGGACCACCGATCAGATATTAAACTGATCAGAACAGATACTACACTTGATCTTAGCCAAAAGGCCGAGAAAGGTATTGCCTGCTGCCTGATGCATCTTCTGTTCATATCAATAAGCAAATTCTAATGTACCCGGTGCAGCAGTTGGCTAGTTCTCAGGAAGGACAAAGTCTAAGGGCAGTCTAGGCTTGAAGGTCAGAAGTAAGCTGTTTGGGCTCACCTCGGTGGCACTGTGCACAGCGTTGTTGTACAGGCTGGCGATGAGAGCACGCTTCTCATCCCAGTCCACCTGATTGGGCTTGATGTAATGCCGCAGCAGGTGTTGTACAGTGCGGTTCAGTTGCTCGGCTTGGCCATTGGCCTCTAGGTGATTCCCAGAAGTCATCTGCAACTGCGTTCCCTGTTCAGCAGCGGCAGCCTTCCACAACTCACTGGTGAATCTGACATCCCTGTTACTCACGATTGACTTAGGCAGACCAAAATCTCTAACCCAGTTCTCCTTGAACAATCTGATCACGTACTCGGTTTTCTCTGTCTCCGACATAGCAATTAACCTAGCGTACTTACTAAATCTATCCACAATTACAAAGATGTGTCACATTCCACTCTTGCTGGTGACTAGGGTGTCCATGAAGTCCATGGACAGGCTCTCACCAGGCCTTTCCGGAATCGGAAGGGGCTTGAGGAGCCCAAGAGGGGCCTGTGTACGGGGCTTGTCCCTCTAACAGACCTGACAAGTCTCCACGTACAGCTTGGCATCTCTCATCATTGTGGGCCACCAGAACCGCTGCAACAGATTAGCTGCAGTCTTTTTAAAGCCAAAATGTCCGGTGGCATCATGACACTCGCCTAAAAATAAACTACGCAAAGACTCTATCTGGCACACACAAACGTTTATTCCCTGCCTTGTCAAGGAACAGCAATTCGTTGACCAACTCAAACTCGGCAGAAGTCGCTTTGTCCTTCGCCTCCAGTATGCGTATGATCTCAGACATAAACCGGTCCTCGTGATAGGCTTCTACCATAGACTGAGTAACATCGTCCGTAAAATCAAACTCAGTAATTCGCGCAACTGAGAAATCAGGTCTACAAGGCGTTAGCAACCTTGTTGTACTGCGGGTCGAAGTCATACTGCTCAACGACTTCGATCCAACGCTTGAGAGCGCCTGAGAGCACCGACTCAGTTCTCATCCATCTCAGGGTCTGATGATCAGTCCTGAGGATGAAGAACCTCCCAATGAGATAGTGCCACCAATGGGTCAGAGCCTTGTACACCGCATAGAGTTCCTTCTCATAGGTGGACCTGGCCAATTTATGAGATGGCATTTTCTTGGACGTGTACTCGACTGGCCTCAACTTTCTCCCCTCTTGTTGTGCAAGTACGGCGCCTATGCCATATTGGCTAGCATCCGTAGTTACTATAAATGGCTTGTTAGGATCAGGAAGTTTCAAGACCTCATGATGCGTCAACGCATGCTTCAGATGTCTGAAAGCAGCCTCGCATCTGTCAGTCCACTCCCTTGGGGTGTCAAGGCGGGTCAGGTTAGTCAAAGGGGCGGCAACTATGCTATAGTTCTTCACGAAGTTGCGATAGTAGCCGATCATCCCTAAGAAAGACCTCATCTCAGTCACAGGCTGAGGACGCGGCCAGTCACGAATGCTGGCCACCTTCGCGTCATCGGGCTTTAATCCCTCCGGGCAAATCTCATAACCCAAGTACAAGACACGGGTGCGGCCAAACTCGCACTTCTCACCGTTAATCTTGAACTTGTGTTGTCGCAAAAGACTAAGGACTTTGTCCAAGTGCGCAACGTGCTCCTCGACAGTCTTACTAAAAATAAGTATGTCATCGAGGTACACGATCACAAACTTATACAAGTAGTTGTGAAATAGTGTGCTGCCGGATTGCAATCTGATGGTACCCGGTCTTCAGATCTATCTTACTGAAGTACCGACACCCTTGCACTCTATCTAGCAAGTCATCGATGCGCGGTAGGGGCTCTTTGTTCTTAACAGTGATGGCATTGAAGCCCCTATAGTCAATGCACATCCTAAGTGTTCCTTCCTTCTTCTTGGGTACAAATAGAACTGGAGACCCATAAGGAGAAACACTCGGCCGGATCCAACCCTTTTCTACGAGTTCCTTGAGTTGTCAGCGAAGCTCGTCAAGCTCGCCTGGAGACATCCAATAGATCCTACCCTTTGGGATGCTAGACACTGGGATAATCTCTATCGCGTGGACGACCTCCCTCTCAACAACCCCTGTCAGCTCTTCAAATAGATCAAGGTATTTAGCAACCACCTCTATCTCCGGCGGCATTTTCATCGGCTCACCTGCAGCAGAGACAAACTAGATACATACCCTCCTCCCGATTTTGCTTAATTGAGGCCCCTATAGTCAATGCACATCCTAAGTGTTCCTTCCTTCTTCTTGGGTACAAATAGGGATGGAGACCCATAAGGAGAAACAATCAGCCGAATCCAACCCTTTTCTACGAGTTCCTTGAGTTGCCGGCGAAGCTCGTCAAGCTCGCCTGGAAACATTCGATAGATCCTACCCTTTGGGATACTAGACCCTGGGATAATCTCTATCACATGGACGACCTCCCTCTCAACAACCCCTGTCGGCTCTTCAAATAGATCAGGATATTTAGCAACTACCTCTATCTCCGGCGGCATTTTCACCGGCTCGCCTACAGTAGAGACATAAACTAAATACATACCCTCCTCCTGATTTTGCTTATAGTAATTATAGAACGCGGCCGCACACATGCATCCATGGGACTCAATCAGACTACTAGCTTTAAACTTACGTAATCTGGCGGTCCCTCCACCTAGCAAAGTGTGTTTGACCACTTTTCGGTCCCAGTCAAACTAGGGTTGTGCCACAGAGAGGTAGTACATACCTAACAACATATCCATGGGGAGTTCATCGCTCACTAGGAACGAGACACCATGTCTCAATTCCACTCCCGCATACAGGGAACAACAATCAACATTTTGGAGGTAGTCGTTGACTACCATGCAGTGTTTGTTGGCACAGGTCGACTCCACAGGTCGACTCAGGCGCTGTACTTACCCCAGTAAGCGCAGCCTCTCAACGCACGCGCGACTAATGAAGTTCCTAGTCGAGCAAGTGTCATAACAGGACCCGGCCTTGCGGCCGCCAATGACTACCTCGCTGACGAACATCTCACCCTTAGGGGCTTTGACCAATGTCGTCCAAGAAGCTAGCGGGTCTGTTCTACACCACTCCTCTAGCTCCTCTAAGGACTCAAACACATTCATCCGACAGAGGCTCGATGGGTCTGAACGTGTTTGCGGAACGATGATGGAGTCAGTAGCCTGGGCCATCTCTCGAGATGGTGAGGGTGTGTCCACCACCTCGACCCTAGCAGGAACAACTACTATTCCTACAGGCCCGACGTGTTTCCCGGAGCAGTGCCTAAAGTACTGGCAACATCGCTACCAACGGAAGCGGAGGATCCTATCGCCTGCCCCATCGTAGGCGGAATTTTTTCGATCACCTTCTTATTTCGGCACTTGAATTGGTTATGGCCATATTGGCCACAACGGATACAAGCCTGCCATGTGTACCGATCTCTCCACACGTCCTCAATGAGACCCGCTTTCTCCCATGGAGGAGCATTGGGGTCAACTTGACTCCTTGACCGGAAACCTCCACGGCGTCTATCGGTCGCCTTACCATTTTGTGCTACGGCGGCGACTACTCCACCCCCTGAAGCTTCTACGCTGCCAGCCTCTTAACCTACTCCCTCCTGGAAGTTGTCATCTAACTCGATGGTTGAACCATCATTATCGACAAACATAATGCGACCCTTCGCCTTCCAGTTGGGAGGCAGTGTCTTCTTCCTACCATCCGCCGTGGGGTCATGTCCATGCCCTGTCTTTCCTTCTAGGTCTAGGGCCTTCTTGCTGAACGAGGGAAAGTTGTGCATATTGATGTTGGCCTCACCTGCCAACTGATTCCTGAGAGGCATGGGAAAGCATCTCAGGTAGGAGGTGAGTAATACCTGGGGGTCATAGCGAACCCCAGAGACACAGATCAGACGCTCTATAGCGTCAGTGGCCTCCCTTACTGACTTGACTTCCTCGTGTGCAGTGTCAAGATCGTGTTAGTGGCCTTTTGGGCCTCCTGAGGATCGTGCCACCTGTCTTCCACCAACTTGAGAAAGTCATCCAGTTTCCTGGGTGACCGCCCAAGCGCGAAAGTCGTGACCGTACCCCTGTAGCTGCACTAAACCACTCAACCATCGTGCTGCACTCCCCGCTAAATAGGCGGCAGCCACAAGCACTTCCTCGTGCGGCAAGGAAAGTTTGCACTTGACATAAACCGGCACTGCCCTCAACCCACTGTCGAGGTCTTCGCCTCTCTTATCCCCTGTGAAGGGTTTAGGAGCAACGATGGCCATCTTTGGTACCCACTGACTTTGACCCAGTCCCTGCATCACTTCAGGCTGTGGACCCTGTGATAGAGGTTGCTGCACTGACTGCAGGGGCTGTGTACCCTGCTGCTGTGCAGGCTGCGAGACAGCAGGCTACACACTTACTGCAACCTGCGACGGAGGTTGGGTGAACAATGTCTGTACAGGAACCTGTAAACTAGGACCTACTGAGAGCCCTCCTGCTAACGGCACACCCAGCGAAACAGTCTGGACCGATGTTGGAGTTGTATGTGGGGACACTCCAGTCACCGGTGGGACAAACGGAGGAGGATTTACAACAGGCCAGGCACCTGGCCCGAACAGTGATGGTGTCGCCTGCATTCGCCCGACTAACACAGCCAAACTCTGTTGGATGTGCTGTAAGATCTCCATTTGGTGATCTTGCATCTCTACTACACTTAGCAAGACAGACCGTATGGTCCTCACATCATCCTCCATCTCTGCAGTGTCCATCTCCTCTAACTCACTAATGTTCGCTTGCCTCCGCTGCATCCTAGCTCTTCTTCTAATCATTCTCTCTTTCTCAGCCTTGATCTCTCCCAAAGCCTGTTGTAGTTGTGCCTCGCGATCAGCAGCTCGCTCTATGGCGACCTCCTCGGGAGTCATCACTAATGGCTGGCTTGCCATAACGCCAGTGGACTGACTCCGGGTCTGCGCGACCGTTGACCCTACAGCTCCTGAACTGCTAGCCTGGGAATTCTGCTGCGCAGAAGTGGCCATGGCTACCGAAGTTGCGGCTTCGCTTACAAACGCCCTGTTAGCCTCTGCTGCTCTAGCTCTCCTCTGCTGCTGCAGCCTCTCCCTACGCTGGCGGAACAGGTATCTGTCGCCCTCTGGTCCTAAAGCCAAACGGCCAATCGGGCGTCTAGCCGATCGCAAGATTCAGTCGTCCTCTCTAGTGTCCTCCCTGTCCCTCATAAGCTACAACACTGTACACAATCTGTACTAGTGCACTCTAGATGCCTACCGCAGTGTAATGCACAAACCAACTAAATAATTACTTGGTGGCTATGTCAGAGACTAAACATTCGAGTGCAGCAGGTAAGTCCAGATTCCTACAAATGGTACTATTCTACTTTGACTAGTTCGCAAACAGAGAGCACAATGAACAGAGGACAGTTCTAAAGTATGTTGTCTGTCAGATGTGAATGGCATTACATCTAACTAATCAAAATAAAAATAACATCATTTGTTGGGTCTGTTTGCAGCATGTGATCTTACTCAAACTTATCAACTGGAATCTACCCCTTCCCCAATTCCCCTTGATTGTCACTTGGCGTCAGTGTCCCAGAGCAATCCGGTTTGGTGTGTGTGACTAAAGGTGTGCACACGGCCCACCCCTGTGCCCCAAGTAACTGCTGAGCTTGCCAACCCTGCACTGTGTTTATCCTCGCGTGCAGCAAGCCTTACACCGATTGGCTGATCTAGAGGCAATTTAACGACCGCCCCCAAGTGTCATCAGGAATTATTTTACGTCGCAGCAGGACGACGAGCACAGCCAATGGTTTCCCCTGCCGGTGTTTATTTATAGACGCCCGGTTCTCGTCTCCCACATAGGGTTGGCCTGCCCTTCAGTACCCCTTCTATGAGCGCAGTAAGTAGACAAGGACAAAGCAACAAAGCATGCGTGCTCTACTCCCGGTGGGTTGGCATGGTGACCGTGACCCAGTGCTCCGTCCAGGGCCCTTCAAAAAGCACCGCCCTCTCCTTCCAGATGCTCCACGTGAACAATGCCAGCTCTATAGGTTGAGCGCACAAGACACCTCACATGAGAGGACACCTCAAGAAGAAACTCACAACCTCACGGTAAGAAGTGATGAAGAGGGGAGATAAGGTTAAGAGCAACGTACCTCATTATAGCTGCCCCCAACCACAGATATTCACACGAGATGACCTGATGGCGATTGCGATGACCAGTCACTGCATCGACACAACCAGCATTATCTCACCATTCCACCTCAGCATCAATCAACCACCAGATAGTTCTCATCACACTATGAACACCCAATATACACACCGTAGCCTTCCTGGCGATTCCCCTCTCCTCCTGGGTCGCCAACACCTTGTCTCCGCCCTCCTCACTACACACCACCTACGGTCAGGCTCACCAAGAAGACCTCATGTATGTACCGCATAGGTAGAAGACAAGCGCCAGATGAGCGGAACGTACCACAGCTCCGATACCAAATTGCAAGGAAGACGAGCGAAAGCGAACTTCAGAAATCAAACAGCATCATACACATAAGACCAGATAGTCGTGACCTCGAACCAACAGCAGAATTGCGTCACGAGTTTCACCAAATAAGAACACACCAAGAGCTCATAATTGACAATGCTGGTATAGTCTCATCATCATCATCAACGAAGAACCAATGTTGATATCCTATCTGGCGCTCGACGCCCAGACTACAGATGGGAGATCCTATCTTGCCTAGACTACAATGACGAAGATGACGACAACAGCTCTTCCGAAGTACAAGCAGATAGCGGCCAATGCCACACGCTTCCAGCACCAGGTATGTCTCTCGCTTCACTCACAACCTCGTTCCGCAACACACAGATGCCACATGCACCCAAGGACCACCCTGCGCCTCACCCAGCTCACAGCAGCGCAGCTCGGCTATGGCTGGCTGCTCATTCCTGCTCGCCCGTGAGCGCGTGAGCGCCGGCCAGCTTCAGCGCAGCAGCGCTTGCGCAACATGCAGCCAACACCCGAATGCCAAATGCGGAGGCAGGCCCTTTGCTATATGGAAGTGGCCTGCCTATGTTTTGTCCCAGGCTGCGCTGGGCCTTTCCCAAGAAGCTTCCGGTAGGCCCCAGTAGGCTGAGGCTCAGTCCAAACGAATCAGGCCCAAGGCCTGTGGTGGTTACTTGTGCCCAACTGTCCTCGGCCTGTTTTTGTCCCATATCCTGTATCCAGCCCAGGGCCTGCCTTCCATACAATCAAACAAGCGGCCTGGGCCTGGGTGCTCTTCAGCCAACTGGGGCTGCGCAACTGCCTGAATTTTCCACAGTTGTGTGGTGACTGAGATAGGGCCTTTTAGACCCTCGTTGAGCCTGCCTTCACTTAGGGCAGCCGACGTGCTGCATAACAGGGCCAAAAAGGGGCTCATCGGGGCCTTGACCTCGCACTTGTCGCCAATGTCCGTCAAAATGGAATTTATACAATGAACAATTGAACAGTAATTGGAATTTTTCCTACCCCTGTATCCCTCTTGAGTAGTCACTTGTCTCAACATCCTGAAGCTTTGGTTCAGCGGTGTGTCTGAAGGTGTGCAATCGGCCCACCCCAAAATGGAA